ATTATCACGATCAAACAAATACACAGCAAAAACATCCTTTTCAAATCATGGTATAAAGTGTCAGTACTTTGGGAGCATCATTCGTAAAATCCATTTCACAGTAAAACTTATTTGTACAGTAAAATAATATACCGTAATTTTTACAGATATATTTATTTATTTTGAGTGATTCGGTGATTTTATGGTAATTATTATTTCAAAAATTATATCAATTATTTATATGAAATTATATTTGAGAAGGCTTACGACCGGACATGGCGATACGGTATTCTTAAGGCTTTGTATGACATGTTCCTCCGTGGTTTTCTACCTATTTTTATCAAAAACTTATTGCGACAAAGATATTTTCGAGTTAAAATTGGCAATAAATTTTCTGACCTATACGTTCAATCTGAAGGTGTTCCACAAGGTAGCGTTTTGAGTGTCGTACTTTGCAACATTCACATTTCTCTCATCTTACACACACTTCCACCCACTGTTTTTGGCACATTTTACGTTGACGATCTGAATATTTCATGTGCAGGATCTGACATGAGAGTATTAGAGCGTCAGCTTCAACTAACATTTAACAAAATTGTAGAATGGTGTAATCAGAATGGTCATACACTTTCACCCACCAAAAGTTCATGCATACATTTTTGTCGACTTTACAGGTTACATAACGACCCTGTTATACTCATCAACAACACTGCAATACCTATTGTTGAGGAAACCAAATTTTTGGGTGTAATCTTTGATAAGAAGCTGACTTTCCTCCCTCATATTAAACAATTGAGAAAACGCTGTGAAAAGGTAATGAATATGCTTCGCGTTCTGTCAAATAAGTTTTGGGGGGCAGACCGTATCGCCTTACCTCGAATATACAAAGCATTAATACTGTCGCGTATTGACTACGCTTGCATGGTCTATGGCACTGCTGCATCTTCTAATTTGAAACGCTTGGACACAGTGCATCATACGGCTTTACGTATATGCAGCGGCGCATTTCGCGCCAGTCCAGTAGAAAGTTTGTATGTCGTGTGCCAACAATTACCTCTTGATCTGCGTCGCATGCAGCTCTCTCTGACATATTATTATCATCTCATGTCTAGTAAATCACATCCTCTAAGGCGTGACATAACTTCATCAAGCTTGGAGAGACTATAGATAGCTAGACCTTCTCATATCCGACCATTTCATGCTCGCGTTCGTACATTCATCCAAACTTTCGACATTTGTGAACTACCATCGCAATCAGTGGATCATTTTCTCATACCTCCATTGACCATCTCCCCCTATCAGTTTGATTAGCCTTTTATGATATACAATAAGTCTAATTTTGCACCCAGTATGTATCAGCAACTCTTCACTTCTCATCGTCACCAGTATACTGAGTATACGCCTGTATTTTCTGACGGATCAAAATCTGCGGGATATGTCGGTTGTGGTGTCATCGTCGCTGATGATGCCTATAGCTACAAAATCCCTGATATTTGCTCCGTCTTTACTGCTGAAGCTGTTGCCATCCTCTTGGTATTGCGGGGGATTTCGGCGTGCTCTACAAGGAAGTATTGCATATACTCAGACAGTATGAGTGTTTTGCACCAGTTGAAAAATTTTCGCAGTGATACTCACCCAATTTTATGTTTCATTAATTATTTGTTGATGACTCTTCACAATAACGGTTTCAATATTTTATTCTGCTGGGTACCAAGTCACGTCGGTATAGAACGATAGCAGATAGCAGAGAACGACTTGGCTGATTTGGCTGCATGATCAGATACCACTATTTTCAGCAACCACCATACCTTTCTCAGACATAAAACACCATATTCGGCAGGCTGTACTATCTCTCTGGCAACAACAGTGGGACCTTAAAATTGATAACAAACTGCACTCAGTTAAACCAGATATAAACTCTTTACCTACATTACGTCTACGTCACGCAGATGTTAAGATAACTCGTCTCCGAATCGGCCACCCTCGTTTGACACATCTACATTTACTGTTTGGAGAACCGCCTCCCCAGTGCAACTCTTGTAATTTTTTGCTCTCTATTCATCATATTTTAACTATTTGCCTATGTTTTAACGTTTATCGTCTTACCTTTCTTGGTAGTTCTATTTTAACTCTGCAGGATTTGTTAGTTGACTCCCATCATCCTAACATTTTTTCGTTTCTACGCGCAATTGGTATTTTATACTGTATATAACTGTTGTATACTATTTACACTTTTATCTGATTTTATTCACGTTTTGATCCTGTTTTATTTCGTTTTATAGTTATGTATTAGCTGATTTTATTTACATTCGAATACTCTTGTTACGGTATATATAGTCCTTGTAAGAAAAAGTAGCAGGAAGCTTTTAACCCATGATTCGTTTTGAAACCGATTGTTTGGTGCAGCATGTCCTTTAGTGGACCTTGTGCCATTAAACCCTACATTCAAATCAATTCAATTATTGTAAAAATTTTAGTAAATCAAATTTTTTGTTCCGTAACATGTTCCGGTGAAAATGAATTTTACGGTTAAAAGTACTGGCGCCCTGAATGTCGATACTTTTTATGTTTATCCGGATTTTTTTACAGTAAAAGAGATGTTTTCTTTACTTCTATAAGTACCTGTATAAAGCATCAGTACTTTGGGTGCATTATTTATGAAATCCATTTTATAGTAAAATATATTTTTAAAGTAAAATTCATTTTTATTGTAAAGTAATAGACCGTAATTTTTGCAGTGTTTATTTAATTCGAGTGATTCAGTGCTTTTAAAGTAATTATCACTGTAAAAGTAATGGTATATCAGATTTATTTCTCCGTAACATGTTCCAGTAAAAATGGATTTTACGGTAAAAAGTACTGGCACCCTGAATACCGGTATTTTTTATCTCAATCCGGAATGTTTTACAGTATAAAAGAGGTTTACTCTACTCGATATAGCTTTTCAAAATATTTAAAACACGAAATTATAGTAGGTTTATTTGATGGTTTTTATAGGGGTTAAACTTATAGTGGCCAGATTTATATACCATGATTTGAGGATAAATCAAATCAGTGGAGCTTTCTTAAAAAAAATTGCGTTCTGAGAACACCTATATATTTATGGAAAATATTAATCTATATGTGCTACAAAGATAATTTTTTAAACTGATATCTAATATGGGGTACAGGACCATTTTCATCAAACTCAATTTCATCACTACACAGTTTTGTAATATCATATTATATTCTGCAGTCAAAATTAATTGATCAATTAATTTTGACTTTGAGAATCAATTAATTTCGAGAATTGGCCTCAAGATTTGCAGACGTTTAGTAACATTAGTTATATTAGAAATTCTGCCTATTTTTCTGACTAAGTTAAATAAACATGATTTTGAAATAAGCATTTTTAGAAAGGCTTTTTAGTAATATTCATTTGGCTGATTTAGACTTCTGAAAAATAACTTTGATTTCCTTTTCAATATATCCTCATTTTTTGTTAAAAGAAAGTTTTAGCATTGAGAAAAGATTAAATTATCAAATAATTCTTCATCATTAAAAGATTATTAAGAACAAAAAGGCATCGAAAATAAGAAGTCAAACACTTCATTTCAAAATGAAGTTCATGATAGTGAAGTAAAAGAGCTCTTAATAAAAATAGGTAATTTAAATATCTTTAAAACAGATAAAACACGTTATAACCTTAATCAATTTTTAATTAATCAAATCAGTTATATCTTTAATTTTTGAAATTTACAATTTTTAATACTTTTTTGTGATAAGAGGAGTGATTTTTAAACAATATGATTTTAAAACAAAATTTCAGAGTTAGGTAGCTACATTCTTTTTCCAAATATAAAAATTTTAATTTTTCTAATCCTTATTTAAAAGGCTAAGATATCTCAGGAAAAAAAATGTATTTTTTGACGTGGGTGACATGAGTTCCAAACCTACCTAAGGCAAGTCTTTTCCTATTGTACTTCTTGGCATCACTAGCCACGGTTCTGATAAAAATACTTTGCCATTGACATAAGTTTAGAAAATTTGTAGGAGTTTTATATAGTGTAACAGACACTTATGTTAATTTCAACTCAATTTCTTTGGCTCCTAAGTCTCGCTCAAATGAACACGGAATAGCTATTGCCTTTTGTAAATGAAGATTTAATGGAAGACACTTATTAAAAACAAATCTTTTTATTAGGAATTATAACAATCGAGAAAGACATCTCTATCTTGCGATCAACATAAACACAAACATAATGACGCAGTTCAATGAAAGAACAAATAAAAGCAACTCTAGTTTATGATGAATCATAGTAGGAAATAATTATTATCCTTTTGACCAATTATTATACAGGGTTTGTCCGGAAAGTAATAGGACTGAGTCAATTTAAAAAAATTTATTGAGCCAATCGTTACAATTCTTTAAAAACTTTCAAAATAGGCTCCTTCTGCGTCGATGCAGCGCAGCCAGTGTGCTATCCAAGCATTGAAGGCGTCACGGAAGGCATTTTTCGGAATAGCCTTGAGAGCCATGGTGCATGCTGCTTGGATCCCCTCTGTCGTCTCAAAATGCTTGCCTTTCATCGGCCTTTTCAGGCGAGGAAGCAAAAAAATGACCGGGGGGCACATCTGGGCTGTAGGGCGGCTGCGGAAGCGTTGGGATGCCGGCCTTGGTCAGGTAGCTGTTCACAAGATAGGTGGTGTGAGCCGGGCCGTTGTCGTGGTGCAACTTCCAGTCGGCTGCGATGTCTTGTCGAACCCGATTGACCCTTCGTTTGAGTCTCTTGAGCACTTCCACGTAAAACTTGGCGTTGACACTTTGTCCAGGCGGAACAAATTTATGGTGGACGATGACTTTGATGTCAAAAAAGACAATGAGCATCGTTTTCACTTTGGATTTGCTCATTCTTCCCTTTTTTGGGCGAGGATACGCCGACGTGTGCCACTCGGAAGATTGCCTCTTTGTCTCGGGATCATACTCAAAGATCCATGATTCGTCACCTGTGATTACGTTATTCAAAAATTGGGGGTCACTTTCACACGTTCAAATTTTCTTGGCACACTTCCACTCGCCGCCATTTCTGGTCGTCAGTGAGCACTTTTAGAAACATCTTCGCGCACACCTTGCGCATGTTCAAATGCTCCGTCACAATGTCATGAACCACAGATTTTGGTAAATTTAACATCTGGGCAATTAAGTGAATACTTAGTCGACGGACTGAGTTCAAAACTTCGCGCACACGAGTAACACTGCCGGTGTTTGTCGAAGTCGAGGGTCTTCCAGCACGGTGTTCATCGGCGACCTCTTCCCGGCCCTCCAAAAAGGCCTGATGCCACGGAAACACACTACTTCTTGCTAAATCAACATCTGGGTAAGCCTGCTTGATCATATCAAACGTCTCTGTCGCAGATTTACCGAGTTTCACACAGAATTTAATCGCGTACCTCTGCTCTAACGAACGCTGCATTTTCGGTTTGCACCACTCACAGAAACACGTCGTGCGAAAATACCTGTCCTGACTCTCCAGGTACTCGGAGACAACTGAACAGCGGCTCGTTCATTAGCTAGGAACGACCTCTACCGAATCCAGTCGGCGCGCACACGCTCCGAAGTACAGTCGCGGCGGAAGAAAATCAGTCCTAATACTTTCCGAACAAACCCTGTATTATCCAGAGTGTGAAGATAAGCAATTATTAATTAAAAATCATAAACTGTTTTTAAGGATAATCAAATATGATAAAAAAATAATAATTGTTTATTTTTGCAAATATAGAGCTTCATTAAAATAAAAAGTTCTTTTTTAAATTTTTAGTGTAGTACATGGCTAAAATAATAAGTTTTGGAAATGGTCCGGAGGGTGTGGCAAAAGGGCTGAGCTCCACAGGACCCATTAGATCATCAAGAAATCAAAAATTCGAGTATCATGTATACTTTAGAATAGTTTTCGAAAAGAAAAATTACGAAATCCGTGTATTAGCTATTAATTTACTTAATTTAATACCAAGGCTCTTTTTCTTAGCTTTACACACTCAAGTGTGCTGAAAGGAAGCAAACTGTAAAAAAATAATGACAAATTTTAATAAAATCAAAAAATTTAGCAACCGTGTAACGGTTTTAGAATTCTATACGAATGTCTGTAGCAGATATAAAGAGAATCTCTGAAAATAGATTTTCTGCACTTAATTCAAGGTTGTGATACAAAAAGATTACTGATCCGACTATATTAATGATTTTTATTTATTGCAAGAAGCAAAAAAATGTTAGGAAATATGTTACGCATGCTTCCGTATGCGAGATATATAATTCAAATCGAATACATTACTCTTTAAACATTCACGAATTTAATGAAACTTCGTAATTTACACTAATAGAAATTTTTCAAAAAAATTGTTAAATAACAATTTATTTAGCTATTGTTATACCGTATTCAAACAATAAAGTGAAATAACCATAAATGAGATAGTCTTCAAACAGCTAACTGTGAGAAAAATCGTTTATTAATTTCTTTCAACTGATACGGTTAAACAGCCAGAATTTTATTGTACCAACTGGTCCCTCCTAATAAGACCACTTAATTCCTTGTAGTTGGGTACGTATTATAGTCAAGAGGGTAAATCTGTCAATCTCATGACCGACAGCAGGGGATATCCAGTCCCAGCGTTGACACCACAATATTTCCTCCATTCCTTTCAACGCATGATTAGTTTTCAGTATCCGATGCTCCCCAATTTGTGACCCAGAAATATAAGAATACGATACACTCAATCATGCATAGATGGCAGCACCATAAACCTGTTAAACTATCTCTAATGTCCAGTTAAATAAATTTTTTTAAGGCTTTGAAACCATGCTAAGTGTGAATGGTTAAAAAAAACTACATAGTTTTGCATTCGTGGTTTTTTAACCATACGAGGGTTGCTATTTATATTTCTAGCCTAATAATGAAAAAACAAATATGTAGGATAGAAATTGGTTTTATTGTTTTTCAAAATATTCTCCATGATGATCAATACACTTTTGCGTTTGAGCCAATTTTCAAAGCACTTTTTCCAGTCCGATTGAGGTAACTCCAAAACATGCGTTTTGAATGCATCAACCGCTTCTTCGGGGGTCGAAAATCGTTGTCCACGTAATTTATTTTTGATGTGTGGGAATAAGAAGAAGTCATTGGGTGCCAAATCAGGGCTGTACGGCGGATGACCCATCAGTTCGATCTTTCGCTCCGTCAGAAATGCCTTTGTTTGAGTCGATGTGTGAGAGCTCGCATTGTCATGATGAAGAATGATTCGCCTGTTCTTCTGCTTTTTTCGAATTTCTCCGATGACTTCTGGCAAACAAATGGTCGTGTACCATTCAGAATTGACCGTCCTGCGTTGCTCTAACGCCACTGTTGCCACATGACCGTTAATGCCGAAGAAACAGGCAATCATTTGTTTCGATGTGCTTCTTCCTCGAACAACTTTTGTTGGTTTTGCCTCGTCTTGGAAGACCCATACAGTTGATTGCTGTTTTGTTTCCGGCTCATATGCATAGATCCATGATTCGTCACCTGTGTAGATGTTATACACAGCCTTTGATGTACCTTGAACGTATTTTTCCAACATTTCCTTGCACCAATCGACACGAGCCTTTTTTTGAGCGTTTGTCAGATTATGCGGGATCCAACGCGAACAAATTTTTTTTACGCTCAAATGTTCATGCAATATTTTATTGATGCTAGTCATACTAATGTCCAAAGACGCCTCTATCTCACGGTATGTCACATGACGATCTTGCTTTATCAGTTCACGCACAGCATCGATCTTTTCTGGCACAACAACGGATTTTGGACGACCTGCACGGGATTCGTCCTGGATCGAACATCGACCACGATTAAATTCGTTATACCAATTTTTTACAGTGCTGTAGGATGGCGCTTTATCGCTGAATAAAGAATTAAGTTCATCGAAGCACTCTTGTCTTGACAATCCACGTCGAAAGTTATGAAAAATAATGGCACGAAAATGTTCACGATTCAATTCCATTTTTTGAAAGAGAAGAACTTTTCAATTTACTGTCAACAACACAAATGAAGCTATAATGGTAAATCGTCTGCTGAATTTATGCTTAAAAATATCAAACTTTCGATTAAAATCGTCTGCGATCGCCTAGCAACACTTACTGTTGCCAAGGCCAGAAATATAAATAGCAACCCTCGTACTAGTTGTAAAAGGCTTCAAAACCGTATAGCTAAATAATGTTCTTTACCGTAAACTTTATGGTCAACCGGATGAAGAGAGTGCAGCGGTTATTTTACCATAGTTTTAAAAAGAAAATTTTAACAGTTCTCTAAGTGACAAAATGTGTGACAACAACCTTTGAATAAATCTTTGGACAGCAAATTAAAGTGCCAAGGATGTGAATAGTGTAATGCAAACAGTTCAATGAGTGTTAAAAATTTATAGGTTTGACCATTTGGAAAATTTCTGACAAGAAATAAATGCGAAGCAAAATTTTAAATTCTCAAAATTGCGGAAATAATAAACTGTAAAACTATTTTAATCGAATCAACTAAAATGTGACATAAAATATTCATTCTTTTCTTCTGTATATCTGTATATAAATTGTACTAATTAGCATTATTAACAAACTTTAAATGTTTCTTAAAGTACATATTATTCTTGTTTACAAATTGAAAATTCCTATGAAGTCCTCACCTTGTATCTCTTTTTCAAGTCTAAACATTCTGAAGAAAATACTTGAATAAAATCGAGTAAGAGGTAACAAACAGAAATGCAATTCCCTATGTAGCTAAGCATTGTGTTGCTGTTTTTCTAAGAACCTTTATTTGGGAAAAATAACGACTAAAAACGAGTCAACAAAACTAAAAAAGATAAATCGGACAAACATAAATTGCTTTGTATTCGATTGATAAGCAACTTTATTTTTCGGAATAAATCATTAGAATAAATAAAAATTATTCATCAATTCTTTTGGACATAATGTTAACTTTTATTAATCATTGATAAATTTGAATTTTTTATAGATATATTTGTAGAAAATAAGTATCGTCTTTTTTATTTTTTTTATAAATTATTGTTTACCAAACAAGCGAGTTTTATCACAAATTTGGTTATTTTTGATTTAAATTATATTTTAATGATTCATTAAATAAATGTTACTTCAAAAATTGTAAACAATAAAGGTTAGCATTTAAATAGTCATATAAATGCTAACCTCTAATGTTTCCTAGAAACATTAGAGGTTAGCTTTTAATGAGGAAAAGTTTTAAATTTTTTAAACTTGTAATAAGTTAAGAAATAAGTGACGTTTATCAACTCTTATTTAGATCTACTCAACTTCAGGTTTATATATATTCTTACTGAGTTCTAGAATCAAGAAGTTTTTAACTTGGTTTATTAAATAGAAAAAGTATTCAGTTCTGATCATGTGTATATTTAAAAAGCACTATAATTAGAAAGTTTATCAGAAATAATTTGTTCTTCATTTTTATTTTAAATACTTTTAACTTGGGAAATAATAAAGTCTTATAAAAATAAATCTTTAAAAATTAAACTTTTCACCTATCTCTAAAATCAGAAAGCAATAATTTATCGCACTTTTATTTACTTGATAATATTCCCTTATCTAAACCAGACTAGAACCACTTTAAATACTCTCAAAGCTAAAAGCATACATAGAGTCCATACATCCATGAGTTCGTTCACCTTAAATACCTCCAAAACATACGGTCCATGCATCCATGAGTTTGTTCGCTTTAAATATCTCCACAACATACATAGGGTACATACATTCAGAAGTTCGTTTTCTTTATATGCCTCCAAAACATACATAGGGTCCGTTCATGAGTTCGTTTACCTTGAATAACTCCAGAAAATATATAGGATCTATTCATTTATGATTTCGTTCACTTTAAATAACTCCAAAACATACATAGGGTCCTTACATCCAAGAGTTCGTTCACTTTAAATAACTGCAAAACATACATAGGATCTTTACACCCAAGAGATCGTTCACCTTGAATTTCTTCAAAAGATACATCAGGTATCTTCAGAAGGTTCGGGCGTACCAAGTTAACGCAGGTAATCAGATGTTATGAAGCACTTTACTACACTTGGTGTTAACAGGAAATAACTCTGCACCACGAAAAAAACTGAGAATTTTCAAATGTCAAAAACTCATGTTGTATGCTCGTATTCATTAAGGGAGAGTGGAGTAAAATCGTGTTCCTTTATTTTGGCGAAATTAGTTCTTTCTTTTAGCAGGTAAACTCAGATTTACTGATCAAGAAGAACCGACCATATTGTCGTGTTGTTGTTGATTAATTTGCGAGATAAGTTTGTTTTACCTCTTCAACTCTCTAATGTTCTTTTGTTTTTTAGCTACTTTCATTTATTGGTCAGTAGAGTCATAAAAATTATTTTTAGTCGAGCTTATTACACTCTTACCAAAGATTCATACTCTAAG